AAAAAAAATTTGGATAGTTTAGTTTGTTTAGAAACTTTTTTATCTCTTGTGTTTTTTTGATAAAACTCACCGATTTGAAATTAAAAAATAAAATGTAAAGCATTACCCCATGTCAGGACAAAAAACATTTTTATTTTTTAATATGTACTTTTTTTATTATTTTGTACTTTCATGAATTAAAATACAGAATTAAAAATTGTCTTGGTAAATAATTTTTAAGAGGTTATCGTTCAGAAGAAAAGGTAACGATATTATTACGAAATAAAACTGTTTGACAGCAGCCTACTAGATTCTTTATCCAAAAATGTTTTTTATCCTGACATGTAATGCTTTACATTTTATTTTTTAATTTCAAATCGGTGAGTTTTACTAAGAAAACACAAGAGATAAAAAAGTGTCTAAACAAACTAAACTATCCAATTTTTTTTGCATGTGTTTGATAAGATTTTTCTTTAAATTTTGTTAACAAGAATGATAAGGGTAGTTTATTTCAACCCCTTCCACTCATTTTAAAAAAGTGAAAAAATTACAAGAAAGTGTGTTTTCATAACAGTAATGCTTCCATAAAATTCCATTAGTCTATCTCTTTTCGTTTTCAAGATAAAAAATAAAAACATTATTTTTTCGCCATCTTTGTACCGCGATATCTCCGTAATGGTTGACTTTTGACCCACCGTTTATGAAGCAAACTACCCTTTAGTTTGAACAAGGAATCAGCCGCTGAAGTTTTTCGCATTTGATTTGAAACACCCTCTATATTCAAAATTACAATATTGAAAAATTATATTGTATCCTCTTATTCATGAGTTTTGTTAGGCTTTCGTTTTTTGGGAAACGTATAACTCAACAAATTATTTTTTTGCGGATGGACCAGACTCTTCAAAATACATAAACTCTACTTCCTATTCAATAATCGGCTGACTTAGCCAGACATTATTTCTTGCCAAAAAATTATCCCAAAAATAATTACTGCTTCGCCATCTGTGTGCCCAACCACTTAAAAATGATTGCTGTGCCGAACCACTCTTTCGTTCGTTTAAAAAAACACAAATGTTATTTGCTATATCGATTTCCTTTCTATTTTGAAATCGATTTTTTAGAAACTTGGCGCAAACGATTTGGACCTGAAAGTCAAAAAGGTAAACCTAGAAGTAAAACAAAGAGAATTAGTAGGTATTTTAACACAGAGTATTTACAGTTTCATAATAGATTTGGAACAGTTACTAAATAAAATACTTGACTTTATTACTATAAATAATTATTACTGTGCAAAGGGGATGCAGGGGGGTGCGAAATTTGGATGGTAAAAACCTATTAGTGAACAGAATATTTCTGTGAAAAAATTAACGTGGGTCCTCGCAAACCTCCAAAGTTTTATGAATTTAAATTTAAAATTTGAAAAAATTATAACATGTTCTTTTATTCAATATATTGTAGCGTTTTTTAAACCACTACCACTGCGAACGGCAGCTTTTCATCGGAGAGCAGTCGTGGATAAGGTATTTCACTAGAGAGAAAATTAATCAGTAATAATTAACAAAAGATATATAGATATTGGGCGCCAGGCATGTACAGAGAAAGAAAACACAGTTGTATAATACTTAAAACTAATGACTATATTTATTCATGACGTTCTTTACTGATACATGACATTGTAGAGTGCTAGTAAATATATAGTGGTTATATGTCAAAGAAAGTGGTGGTAAGAGTCGTACTAAATATCAATGAAAACAACTGCGATAAAATACAGGACATGTAAAGTTTAAGAGGAAATATGAAATGTAGCATTACTTTAATTAATTTAATATATTCCATATGATGCTAAATCGAAGATGTTACAACCTGTAGATTCTAGAATCTATGTTTGATTATCCATCTATTAAAATAGTGCAATATTATCTATAAAAGTAATACCATTACAAGACGCAATGCAATGAAACCTAAGATCTAAATTATATTTTAAAGATTATATTGACATGAATGTTCTTAACAATCCAACCACTGAACATTGTCTGTACAATATTACTCAAGATGTACGTTATTGTTTAAGACCGAAAATATAGAAAATCTAAAACATAAAAACCAGAACGTAAATCTACACTTAGCTGTTCTTTATGTAATCTTGCTTCAAACAGTAGCAGCGTGAGGTGGTCTCGCATCTCTGTACTCAGCCATCCAACACAACCAAAGGGGCCAGCATGAGACACCATAAATTGGTACAGCCGTAACTAACTAGCTTACAGCTGGGAACGAAGCAGCACGGGACTCAAGCTACATCCACGCTGTGGCGCTTATATGTAAGAAAATATCGTTCTTACTGGGGACACTCGTCCACAGGACATCCGTACATAAGATAATGTCCGTACACAAGACACTACCTTGGACACAGTCCGTACCTTGGACACAGTCCGTACCTTGGAAATAGTCCGTACCTTGGACACAGTCCGTACCTTGGACCCTAAAAATATGAAACTCTTGTTTAAAACCAAACAAGGTCTAATAAACAAAATAAACCTACCTCGAAATACTTCCGAGGGCTCAATAAATAATAAACAACATGTCCTTTCTTCCATGTGACATTCTGGAGGACAAAAGAAAAGGGACGCCAACGTGCCAGCAAAACACAAATACAAGTTGGGACATCCGTAACTCTACCCTAAAAATATTCAATAATAATATCGAATCTAAAAGGATAATATTTCATCTTTACCTGTTGCTTTGAAATAGCAGCTGATTCAGATGATACAGCAATATTTAAATAATCACCATTTCTAAAAGCTGGGATACAACAGAGAGTCAAAACAAAGTGAGGTTAAGCACGGAGAGAGTTGACAGAAGCGACGTTGACAGCGCGCGCCTCCACAGAATAGTAACAGGGTTGTGTCGAACGATAACAGGGTTGGCGACTAGGGAACGTAAAAATTACGCGTCAAATAAACTATCCTGCCTGAACGAGAGGGAATCCGGTGATGATAGGCCAGACATCATATATCATATGTAAAAAAGACATGTAACGAACTAAAAACGTTACAATATTATTGCCGGTAACATATGTATTGCAAAGGATAAAATATAAAAATGAACACTTACCTATGTCTTCCATATTGGTATATTCTACACAGAAAAATATTTTGTTTCCAATGCGGTACTATCGAACGAATCCACTTCTCAACACTGCATTTCACACATCTTTAAAAATAGGTCACAAAACAAGATAATCAAAACGCTGTAAATATGTTTTTATGTATTATTGGTCAAAACCATTTTAAGTGAAGGTAGATTAAAGCCTGGTATCAATAATAAATTTGTTAAATATACTAAATTTGCAACTCGAACTTTCGCATCTATGGGCAGCTTTTTCAAAATCTGAACCATTGTGCGTCGGTTCATACTACTTCCCATTCGTCTTCGGGGACCAAGCGAATATTCATAATATCGGCCATCTTCAACAAGATCAATGACTTTTGATGAATCTTCAACACTAAGAACCATATTCTATGCCAAAACCACCTCGTCATTCTCTTCTTTCTCAGCCTGGTTCCATCCAGTGTTGGATATAGGCCTCTTCTAGGTTTTTCCATGCTTCGCGATCTCTAGCCAATCTTATCCATTGTCTTCCCGCCACTGCCCTGACGTCATCGACCCATCTCTTTTTTGGTCGGCCCACACTTCTTGTTGTTCCCCTAGGTCTCCATAGGATTATTTTTGGGGCCATCGGTCTGGATCCTGTCTTGCCACATGTCCTATCCATTGCCACTTCAGACTTGCCACTCTTTTAACGACATCTATTAATTTTGTTTTTGACGTATGTGGGTATTCCGTATTTTTTCCCTAATGGTGACTCCCAACATGATTCTTTCCATGGCTCTTTGTGCTACTCGTAGTTGTTCTGCTGTTTTTCGAGTAATTGCCATAGTCTCTAAGCCATACGTAAGCACAGGTAGAATGCAGCTGTCGTAAGCCTTTTTCTTTAGGTTCGTGGGCACCTTTTTATCCTTGAAAATATCGCTCATATTTCCAAATGCTACCCATGCCAAATGGATCCTGCGTTTGATCTCCGTATTTTGGTTTTCCTTGCCCAGCTTGATTTTATGACCTAAATATATATAATGGTCTACGTTTTCAATAATAACGTTGTCCACGGTAATGTTATGGATATTGTTGCTCATTATCTTTGTCTTCTTCAAGTTCATTTTAAGGCCAATTTTCTGGGATTGCTCATTTAGCTTATTTAGCATGGTGTTTAGTTCTTGAATGTCGGTGCTCAGCAAGACAATATCGTCTGCGAACCTCAGATGGCTAAGGTCCTTGTCCTTGACCTCGTCATTATGAAGAATAAAATCAAAAAGTAACAATAATAGAAAAAATTGCAAAATGTTTGTGGCAAGTTCATTTTGCTCTTAAAAATTAACCATGGCATGTGTTGACATGAGTCAAAAAACAAAATATTCAGGAGACATGGTTCTGACCGAAAAATAATATTTTAGGAAAATTTCCTCACGAAATTATTTCACAGGGTGTTTTTTAATATAGTGTAAAAAACAACTCTTCGATTAACCCTGTATAATAAGTCAAATACTAAAGTTTATACTAAACTGAGTTTACGAATTAAAGTTGATATATTTATATACAATCTGCTAAAAAAATCAAGGAAATAGGAGTAAAAATAAAAAAATATAATATTTTAAACTTGACGAACAATTTTTCCGTTGCGTTTTTTTTGCATCTGAGATATTTAAATACCGTAGAGTACCGTATAATCCAAAGAGAACGGCATACAGCTGGCTTGGAAACGACAATCGGTGACTCCCCGTAAAATTGATTGCCCATAATATTTTACATACAACAGTAAACTTAATTTTCAAGCCATCTTTGACGTCTTTTTTTATCATAACTGATGGTTAGTAGTACCAAGTGATCGAAAAAAAACCGCGTCAAAGACGGCTGGGGAATGGCAAAACAAGATAAGAAAAAAAATGCTTTTCTATCATTATTTGTAGGTGAGCTTCTACTGTGAAGATGCAGATCAGGATTCCAGTTTGGGATACAATTTCTTATCAATTTTTAGCAATATTCAAACTATAGTAGACGAAGTGAAATTTCATAATGCCAGAGTACCGTTTGCTTTATGGGACGGTACTGGCACAAAGTTAGGTAAGAGTTCCATGCTTAGTACTTACTCAGGGCCTAGCCGTGCCGGAGGTGCAAGGGGTGCATGGCACCCGGGCGCATATTCGTAATTCGCCGACACATTAGCCGCTCGGATTAGGTCGGGTACAGCGACGGACGGTTGGTAAAGTACCGACGTATTAGACTGGTCCCAACCCTTATGCGTCGGCGATTTACGAAAACGAAATAACCGTTGACTGCATATTGCATAGGTATTATACATATTATATTATATTGCATTTATCGAGAACTGTTGGAAAATCAAAGCAGACTTGAACAGAAATTATCTTTAATACTGAAGGTAATCTATATTCGGTGTATTCCATTTAAAATAAGCAGAATGATTGTCAAAAATTTCTCGAGCAAATTTTCAATTTGTCATTTTTAGTATAAAATTTTTTTAGGGTACAACAAACTACAATACAAACTAGGATACAACAAACTACAAACTATTTTTTTTAGGGTAACTTAAAAAATTTTACTTTCTGTTAGATAACTCATTAATGGCGAAAATATGCAGGATTACCCTGTATATAGAAATTATTAAACAACTTAAGTCTAGGCAAAGTTTATTATCAAAAAAATATGGGAATAAAAAAAATTAAAACTATTTATTCTTGAGAGTTAATTATATATTCCCCCCTAAACCCATATTTTTTTAATTTTGTGTCTGAAAGAAATTGTTTGATAGTTACTAATAAATTTACTGGACAGTCTATATTTCGGGAAGTTCTTTTTCGGCTAGCTTTACTGTTTTTCTTTTACGTTAAAAAGACAGTAATATATCTCTTAAATATTAGACGTAGTTTCACAGAACCAATCTTAAAAAGTTTGTGAAACTCTTTCAAACATTTTTCTTCTAACATTTTCCAATGTTAGCCATTCTATAAGAAAATAAAAATAATAATTAAAGCCTTAATAAAGGGTAAAAGGGTAAGTTAAGTTTTCAGACTTAATGACCGTATGAACAAAAAAAAAAGCGGCCGTCCAGTTGGTTTGGAAATGACGATCGATGACATTCCCCATATAATTTTACATACAAAATGACAACCATAACTTTGATGACAAGTATCTTTATTTCCAAGTCAGTTCTGACGCTTTTGACAAGACTTTTGCGCAAAAAAAAACAAAAGCATAAATGGATATATTCTACTTCAACAATAAAATATTGAAACTGAAAAAATTAAATTTTGTTTTAAATTATTTTGAAATATATAATTTTATTCAGTTTTGTTTTATTACTATTACCACAGATAACGTATACTATGTTACCTGTGCTATTACTACCGTATGATCGAATAAAAACGGCGTCAGCGATGGCTATGGAATGAAGATCGCTGTTATTTTATATGTAAAATTATATGGGGAATGTCATTGATGTTCATTTCCAAGCCAACTGAACGCCGTTTTTTTTCGATCATACGGTATTTATTTTGCATTAATGATATATTAGGCATAACATTAGTGTTATTATTTAATTTCTGTGCAAAAATCAACATACGTAAAAATTGTTTTTATCAGTGATCTGCAATCTCAATTTATTAGAGGCTATCTCTTTATCAGGTACAGCTGGTAATGTCTTAAAATCGATATTTTTGAATTAGCAATCTGCTCAAAATGTGCTAATCACTGGAAAACTATGAAAACCAACTACAAACACCTACTGATTATCATAAAAAAAATACAAATACCCATTACAGACATGGATCAAATAATCCGATTTACAAACTTGGAAAGAAAGAACAATATTTTGAGCGCATCGTAAATCGCCGACGTATTACGTCTCGCCGTAAATCGTAAATCGCCGACGTATCTAATACGTCGGTACTTTACGCAGCAACCGAACTAACCCGAACGGCTAATGTGTCGGCGAATTCCGAATATGCCACCCGGGCGGCACTAACACAGGGCTGCAAAATATCATCATCAAAATTGTTTTATCATATTATCAAGAATAAAAAATGCCACCTTGCAAAATGCAAAAATATTCTAAAAATCACCACCTATCTAAGATCCAACAGGAGTCAAATCAGGCTTTCAAATTTAGCAGTTATAAGTATTGAAGAAGATATTTCTAACAACTTGGATGTAGGCGACTTGATTAGGGAATTTGCTACTAAAAAAGCGAGAAAAGTTGATTTAAGTATTTAAACCTGTTTAATTATTTTTTTTTCCTGAATGTATTTTTATTTTATTCTTTTATGTATCTGTTAATAAATACTTTGTTATTTTACTATAAAATTTGTTTATTGTGTTACGGGCGAGAATTAAGGGGCTCAGTTCATTAGGGTGAGTTAATGTATCAGGACTGTGGGCACTCACCTTTATTCCCGTTCTGGACTCGTACCTGTTGATTTTTGCTTGAACAAAACACTTGAGGATAGCGCGCGCTTGGAGGTGTACACTGTGTACTCGGCCGATCTTGTCACTCTCCGTACTCGACTACGGCTACGTACCCACTAAGGTTTTTCGGTTTTTCGGGTAAAGGATGGGAGGAAGGGATAGAATCCAACATACCGCCCACCAAAATGAAATATTTTCCATTTTCGTTTGAGAATAGTAAAGTAAAATAAAAAAAAAATAAGTGATAAAATGCGTTATGTTCAAAAGAAAGTAAGAGTGAAATTTATGGAGTTAAATTTAGAGGAAATTTAGAAAAATGCATTATTGGGGTTAATGCATGAGTGTAATTTAATTAAATATTAAGAGAGTTTTTTTTTACATTTGTTATAGAGTAGAAAAAAGTAATTAAATAAGAGATGTGAATTATGTTTATAATGAGATTATGTTTTTTTTGCGATTATGTTTTTTTTTAGAGTGTAAATTTTAATTATGAGATTTGCAGTAAGGCAGTGGGCATATCTTTGTCACTGGTCTTTTAAGAATGCCTTTTGCTGTTTTTAAAGTAACCACGCGTGTAACACGATCATGGCCCGGGTGAATCTCTAAGACTCTTCCAATGCTCCATTTGAGCGGAATAAGATTATCATCCTTTATTAAAACAACCGAGTTTATTTCTATTGGAATAGTAGAGTCATTCCATTTAGCTCTTTGTAAAAGTGTTTGAAGGTATTCTTTAGACCATCGGCTCCAAAAGCTTTGGTGCAAGCGTGATATCAACTGCCAGCGAGAGAGATGATTTAATTTTATCCCGGAAAGATCATCTTTCGGAGGGGCGTTTAACGGCTCTAGGGTTAAAAAATGTCCTGGAGTAAGAACTGACAAATCATTAGGATCAGAGCTTTGTGGACACAATGGACGAGAATTAAGCACTGCTTCTATTTGAACCAGTAGCGTATAAAATTCCTCATACGTGAGCAATTGGTCACCAATGACCCTTTTAATGTGAGTTTTTACAGACTTTATTCTTGCTTCCCACAGGCCACCAAAATGAGGCGCGCTTGGAGGATTGAAGTGCCAGGAAATTTGTTCTTGCTCAGCGGCGGATTTTAGCATATTAATCAGTTCTCTAGAAGCTCCGACAAAGTTCGTTCCACAATCGGAATAAATATGATTGCAGCGACCTCTACGAGAAATGAATCGACGCATTGCACCCAGAAAAGTCTCGGAGGAAAGGTCGGAAACCAGTTCTAAGTGCAAAGCTTTGTGGCCATGCACACAAATAAGCAAATATAGGCTTTACAGGACTTAGCACCTCGTGCACGATATCTTAATAAAGAGAATGGACCACCATAGTCGCATCCAACTTCAGAGAAAGGTTTTACTTGAGAAAGTCTTACAGCAGGAATATCTCCCATAATAGGAGGCTGAGGCATTACTGGATTAGCGCGAAAGCATTGAGGACATTTAAAGAGAACACTACGAATTGTTTTTCTAGCAGAAACAATCCAGTATTGTTGAGCGAGAATATAGTGAAGAGTTTGGGGACCGGGATGCAAATAGAGTTTATGAGTATATTCTATGAGTAGAGTAGTAAATTTATGATTATTGGGTAAGAGTGCGGGATGTTTTTGAGAGAAATTTAGAGAAGCATTGCGCAAGCGACCACCAACTCTAAGAATTCCATTGGTGTCGATAAAGGGGGTCAATTTTCTTAAGTATTTAGGTAGAGATTTGCAATTATTTATTAAGAGAATTTCCCTAGCATAATATTGTGATTGAACACATTTAATAATACATTCTAGAGTTTCATTTATTTCAAATTTCGAGAGAGGAGAGGTTTTACGAGATTTAGAATGTCGAGTATTATAGAGAAAGCGTCTGCAAAACGTGACAATATTTATAATTTTAGAGAAAGAAGAGAACTTTTCAAAGAGAGTATCAAACAATGAGGGCTGTGAAGTACATGTCAATATAACTTTTCGTTGTTCTTTTCAGTTTCAGGGAAAGTAAAAAATTGATTGCGGCCAATAAGATTCCGGTTGGCTTAGCCATGGAGGTCCCGCCCACCATAAGGCATTGTCGAGTAACTCGCTAGGTTGAAGACCACGAGAACCTGGATCAGCGGGGTTGTCTTTGGAGACTACATGACGCCAACAAGAAGGAGGTAATTTCTCTTGAATTTGGGAAACTCGATTGCTCACAAAGGTGTTCCACTTATATGGTTCACTTCTAAGCCAATGTAAAACAACCATCGAGTAGGACCATATAATCGTACTAACATTAATAAGTTTATTAGTAAGAGAAGTTCTAACGAAATCAATTAACCTGGTCAGAAGTAAGGCTGCACAGAGTTCCAGTCTTGGAATTGAGATTTTTTTGAGTGGAGCTACTTTGCCTTTAGCGCAGACATAATTTGTTTTTACAGAGTTATCTGGAAGAATTATCCTGAAATAAATTACTGCACAATAGCCTTTTTCACTGGCATCACAAAAACCATGTACTTCCAGGGATAAATATTTGAGAGTGAGAAAATATCGAGTAACTTTGAGAGAGAAAATGCAAGGTAATTCTTGAACGAGTTGATACCAAGAAGTAGCAATGTTATTGGGAGCAGATCATCCCAATGTATACCTAACTTCCAC